ACGTGCTGTGACTGACTAACACTGCCCGAACTGGGATTTGTTTTCCCCCACAAAGCACAGGAGTCATTTCAAATGGACAACGGTCCAACAGGGAATCGCCATCAAACGCCGCTTCGCTGGCTGTTGTTTTGTATGAACCAGAACAATAAAAAAAAAAATGACACAATTACACAAATAGCAGTTTTCTTTGCATTGGTTTTCGGGATCGCCGCGGCCGACCCCCCCCCCCCCTTCTCTCCGAGGACCATGATGCAAACCTGATGCAACGCGACGCGCACAAGGAGCTCCAGACGTGTTGAAAATGATGTATAAATGATACGTCTTGTTAGCTTTGACTCGCAGGTTTCGGTTGCCTTCTCCTGCACCAAATGATCAATGTCCCCCCATTATCCTCGCACGCTGCCTTCAGTTCCCAATTCTCCCCGCCTCTCCCCGGGTCTTTCATGTTGCCCTCTGGGAGCCAAACAAAACACGTTTTTTCTACTGCAAGTAAGGAGCTAAAACACCATGTGATCAGTCATGAATTATTTGAACGCTATTGATTTGTATAAAATGTTGCCTCTCCCCGGAGCGCTTGACCACGAGAACAATAGTCCGCCTTACAGGCGGCCTGCGAAAAGTATTTTTTTCCCCCGATTGGATAAAAAGAAACAATGTTTAGAAGATGCTTGTGAAGAACAACTTCAATAGAGAGCTGCTTGTTAAGGGGAGAGAGAAGGAGCGTGTGCTGCAAATCTGCGTCGCATTTAAGGGCGTAATGTCAATTTCATGCCTGTTTCCCCGCGCTCAACGAGGGGGCCCCGGTGCCCTGTGGGTAGTTAGCAGTTAGAGAATACATGAGGACCAAATAACAATCCAAACATATTCCCAAAACATCCCAGTGGAGTGTGAGCTGCTGTTCAACACATTGTGGTATTTTCCTGCTGAGGATTTTTTTTTTCTTTCTCTTTTTTGCCCCCGAAAGCCTCATTCAGACGGCAGACAATGCTTTTGAACGCACGTCTCCGTGGAGCGCTGCACAGCACTGCAAAGGGCCCCAAACGAAGGCCCCAGACGGTGCAGCGACCTCCCTGCACCCCCCCAAGACAGGCCAGAGGAGACTAATAAACAGACGATCACTGACAGCCGATTGAAACCCCCCCACTTCTAGAAATAAAAAGATTTAACTCTCCCTGCTGCTGAAGAATACAATTTTCAGTGTAACTCCAAATATGACCACATCTCTGCATCGCTGAATCTGAAGCATTTTTCTTTATTGCATTTCTTTCGTTACCCTCGTGGTCCCTATAGGACGAGATGATGATATTTGGAGATGTATGCGCTGCTCTAAAAGAAGCTTTACGGTGGTGGAAAGGATATTAGAAGCTGGAGGTGCAGTAGTGGCCTATTGGCAGGACTCGCTCTGCTGTCTGGGGGAACAGTGTAACATTCAGACAATCACATCCGTCACATGTTATGATTGGACTGAAGCATGGTGCGTTTAAAAACGACGTCTTTTGTTCACCTTCTTTCTTTCTTTCACACACACACACACTTAATTAATCCTATGAATGAAAAAAGATATCCTCTTTTTTTTATTTTCTCTATCTTAAGTGATTAAGCGATGTCACTATTGTCCACTCATGAGTGGAAAAATTCAAATCCTGGCAAACGTCCAAGAGAACAAAATCTGCATTTAGGATCATCTGGAAACCTCTCACATGAGGGATTAGTCCGGCAGGGGGGAACAGGTTGAAACGGCGTTGTGGCATTTGGGAGGGTGTGTGTGTGTGTGTGGGGGGGGGAGGGTATCAATTGTCCTCCCTATATCCCTAACAACTGGTCTCGTAATCTATAGGTACAGAGGGACTTACACGGGGAACTAACACAGTTCACTATCCAGCAAAGGAGTCACACGTCCAATCCGATGCATGATCCACGGGAAATCCCAATGTGCTCTTTGCATAGCTGCAGCGAGGCCCCTCCCTCTCCCACGCACACTCTTCTCTCTCTCTCTTCCACACTGTCTCTTCACCCTCCCTTTCCTCCCCCCCCTCCCTCCTCTCCTCCAGCCAGCACAGACTCATTTAAGTCTGCTGATGTCTTGATAATGCTCCAAAGCCCTTCAGAAGCAGGTAGAGAAGGAATTCTTCAGCTCCCTGAAGAATTAGCAGTAAATTGGAGGATCGTGGGCTTGAGTAGCTCTGTGGAGTTAAAGACAGCGTTTGTCACCTTCCCTATTTTAGTTGTTGTAAGTCAACGTGAAGAGACCTGCAGCCATGCAGAAGTCTGCTTACCAAAAATATTTCCAGGAGATTTAATAAATGGAGCAGGGGACCGGGAGGGACGGAGGGTTAAATGTATTAGTTGGCTGTCGGAGTGAGTCAGTTGAGCTTTGGTGATTATGTGCTTTGATTATCCAGTTTATTTAAATGTTTCACTCACATGCAAACGCCTGTTGTGCAGTCGATATAAACACGGACATGCGTTGCATTACAATGAGAGAAACATGAAGCACTGGAAATGATCAGGTAGAAATTTAAAATAGAAGTTAGGTGACTGATGAAAAAACACACTATTATATATTAGACACGGAAAAAAGGTTATTAAATAAACAAAAAAAGTATTTTAAGCTGAGTGGTGTAAGAGTAATAATACTATTAATACTATTAATATCAATAATAATAATGAAAATGATGGTACTTTGTATTATTGCTTTAAGTTTGATCTATTTCTGTATTTACCCACACTGTGCGCTTGGCCACACAAACCACAAATGATGACAATAAATGATTATCCCACTGAATAATTAAAGGATAACAGTGAGCGCATGTGCAGCGGCGGTGGAGGGTGGGGATTGGTTGGTTGTTGGGATCGACGGCACATGAAAATATGATTGAGGCCCCTTTAAGAGTCGTTGGCCATTAAACTGTAGCGACGCCGCGTAAAGCGCCTCCATTCCTTCTGATGTCTCTGCAGGTCGCTGCTGATTGGACGACCACGTACCTCAAATTTGGAAAATTACAAGCTGGAGGTTGTTTTTTTTTCAGTAAAACTGGAGCTCAAAAAATCATATATATATTTTACTAAATTAAATGAAATGTTATTAAAATTGTTGAATCAAAAAGTATGCGCTGCAAGTTGATGACATTAAACATGCACAGCCTATAGGCCTCCTGGCGACGTGTTTTCCTTTATTATTCTGGATGAATATTTTGTTGCACTGATGAATTGTAAATGAGCTCAAGCACATGCACCGTTCAAACAATACTTAATAGCGAGAAGAAGAAAAAAACATATTTGCCGGTTAACCATTTATTTCCAACAAAAATGTCAAAATAGTTTGTCTTTTTGGGGGTTCCTGCGCGTTCTCAATTATCCAGCTTCGATGTATCTAAATTGACAGCATCATCACTAATTAAAGATAAATGATCTCTTTTTTACATCTAAACCTTTAATTCGTCTGTAAACAACACGGCGCGCATAACGTTGCATTTACCCCTCATATGTATTGTAATCTTTAGGACGCCCCTGTTGCTGGATCATTTCGTTACACACACACACACACACACATGCACACGCACGTGTGCCCATCGCCACTTGATCGTGCGGGGTGATATCCAGGCACACGACAGGGAGCGCAGATTTGCGTCTTAAAGGGGATTTAGGTCCATTAACAACAAAAGGCGCAGCGCGCGGCGCGCGGGAGCGACCTCGTCTTGTGCGTCAGTCGGGGCGATGCGAAGCGGCCCGCTGATAAATGGAGAGACATCAAACCGAGTCATTAGAGAGCTGAGATATGAGACTTTCACAGTGGCGGACTGCACCCAGGGGATCACACTCCTCTCCCGGCCTTTTGTGTTTGTGTGCCGCGGACTGATGAACGACTTAGATAACGTTAAGCCATTATGGGCTCACTTATTCCCATGAAAACCCTGTAAATAGAGGGACGGGTTTTTTTTTTTTCTTTTTCGTTCCCACTGCTGATATCTATTAATTTTGCAGCCCACATTTGTAAACCGGAAACCACAAAAGGATTACAAGGGCAACGTACCAGTATTGATTACAGCTTTACTGATTAGGTGCGTGTTGCTGTCTGAAGCTGCTGTCCTCGGGATTACCAGCTCGCATTCAGGAGAAGAATTTAACTTTAAAATGGAAAGATATGAATTTTTTTTTAATCAAAAAATATGTTGAGGCCTAATTAAATTTGACTGGTTTCCAATTAACGTTATAGAATTATTATTATTTTTTAATATTAATGATTGACAGAGTCCGTATATTATTCCAAACTACTTTTGAATTTTGTATTGACATCCGTCAATCCGTCCATGTTTGTTCCACATGGACCATCTCTTACTTTTAGAAACGTTACTAACTAGAGGATAGAGGTGGATTATGGAGCGAGTCTGCGCGGATTAGCCTTCAAACTCAAGAAACTACACGCACACACACACACGCACACACACACACACACACACACGCACACACACACACACACGCACACACACACACACACACACGCGCGCGCGCACATCATGGGGCAATCCCACAAAATGTGTATCTCCTAATCGCGTTAATTACATTTACGTTGAATTAATTAGACATAACAGCCACACGTAGGGGAGAGAGAGAGGGGGGAGAGAGAGAGAGAGACACCGCGGGCATTAATGACCCCGTAATTCAATTAACCGCCTCCATCAGCTCCAGCATTGATTTGACGAAGTAGTAGAAGGAGAAGAAGAAGTTGATGGAGGGAAAAAAAAAGCTGCTAAAAGTTGGATTTTGCGAAGAGGTTGAGCCGGCCTGTAATTGCTCAAGACATAAAGGATTGGAAGAGGTATGTATATCTGTGTGTGTGGGGGGGGTGTGTTGGGGAGGGAGGAAGGGGGGGGCTGAGGTGGCCGTGTATAAATAGTGTGCTCTCAAATACACAGTCACAACAGCAGGAGTGATCTCACCTCCTTTCCACCCCTTCTATCTATCGCCGCTGCTAGCCCCCCACCTCCCCCCCCCCAAACCCCCTCTCTCCCTGCCCCCCCTCCCCAAAACAAGAACAGGAGAAGAAGAAGAAGAAGAAGAAGGAGAAGGAGAAGCAGGAGAAGGAGAACAAGAGGAGTGTATCCGCGCGCGGTAGGCTGCCGGTCCACCACACAGAGACGGAGAGGGGCGCACGTTACGCCGACGAGTCACCGTGGATTTCCGCCACCGGGACCACTGCTGAGCGAGCGCGCCGCGGCCATGGAAGAGCTCACGGCTTTCGTGTCGAAGTCCTTCGACCAGAAGACCAAGGAGAGCAGCAAGGAGAGTATCACGTACCGGGAGGTGCTGGAGAGCGGCTTGACGCGGGCGAGGGAGCTGGGCAGCCCGGAGAGCAACCTGCAGGACATAGCGGAGGGCGGCCACTGCCCGGCGCACCTCTTCAAGGACCACGTCGAGCTGGAGAAGGAGAAGCTCAAGGACTTTAGCGTGTCGCGGTCGAGCGAGGGTAAGTTTCTCCGTTGGTTTTTTCCCCTTCATGTTAGATGGAAGAGGAAGCAGCGCGATGTGTGTGCGGGAGATAAAGTTCCGCTTTTTGTTGTTGTTGTTTTTTTTCTTTGCACCGAAAAGGGACGTTTTTCTGTTTTCTGGATTTTTTGTTGTTTTGTTTTTATGCAGAATTTACGCGCGAAAAGATGGTGCGCGTTCCGCTCGCGGGACGTTTCTGAAGTTAACGTATGAACGTGTTGTTTTGCGGGCCCGTCCTCCGGTCGCCGTTTCAACTATTTGACCATTTATTTCGGAGGCCGAACAAGAAAGAAAATATCCACCGGAGCATTTCGTATAATTTATATTATTGGAGTTTATTAAATAATCATAGTGCGATATGCCTTGTTTGAAGAAACACACACACTTCGGGTGTAATAATCCTAAAGAATGCATTACAAAGTGCAAGGTAATCTTTTATAGGTTACAGTCCGTTATATGGGTTATATTTGTCAAGGTCCAAAAGTTGAATCCTAATAATATGACCTCGTGTCCCCTTTAAAACCTGTACCCTGCACGGTTGTTACAGAGTTTTTGGATTATGCCCCCACCCCCCCTCCCATAAAACCCCCCCAACAAATCACACTCTCAACTGTTAAATCCCTGTAAATGGGCAGAAAACTATTAATTATGAACACGTATAAAAGAGTACAGTGAACACAGGAAGAGCCTCCTTCTAACGTGCAGTGTGCAGCTTTAAATATTCACCGTGTCATTTTAACCCGTTTCTATATTTATCTTAAATGAGAAAGAAAAGGGGCAGAATTATAGGTCTATTTGGCTGGCTTACGATTGAATTAATATATATATAAAATAATTCAATATATTAATATACATATTAATACAAGCTGGTTTTGTGTATATGGGATTGTATTCTTGAAAATTGACATTGATATGAAAATGGGTTTTATATATATAGGTTATATCATATTCAAATATATATATATATATAGTCTTTAAGTTTGGGAATAACCCATTTTCATGTCGTACTGCTGCAAACAACAACATTGAGACCAAACAGTACATAATTACAGCAGCTGTCAAATGTGTTACTAATAATAACAACACACCGATAACACTATAACACATCTATAATATACTGACAGCATGATACACAGATATTTAAAGATTGTAAATGGAAAATAAAATCCATTGAAATATTAACTTAACGTACCTTTTTATTATTCCCCTTATTTCTAGCCCTAAATAACCTCGGTTGGTCTGAGCGGGGGAGGCCGATACGCGTCCCGGTTTAAGCGGGGCTTAAGCCCCCCGCTCGTTAGGCCTGACTTGGCGTGTATTGACTGATTTACCTTCATAAACGCCGCCGACATCACAGGCTGACCTGTGGAGGCTGCAGAACTCTCTCCTATAGAGACACGGCCAGGCCTAACGGAGGCCCCTGGGAGGGGCCCCCCCGCCGGGGCCAGCGATGTGCGGCGGAGAGAGTCCTGAGTAGCGTGTTAACCCGTGGCCCGTCCAACAGGGATATACGAGTGCAAGGAGAAAAAGGAGGACGTGAAGTCGGAGGACGAGGACGCGCAGGGCAAACTGAAGCAGCGCAGGAGTCGCACCAACTTCACCTTGGAGCAACTCAACGAGCTCGAGCGGCTCTTCGACGAGACGCACTACCCGGACGCGTTCATGCGGGAGGAGCTGAGCCAGCGGCTCGGACTGTCCGAGGCCCGCGTGCAGGTGAGGGGCCACAGCTCGTGACGCAGAGCACGCCGGTGCGCTGCTCCTTCATCCCGCAATAATGGTAGTGGGGACAGGTGGTGGGGACAGGTAGTGCGCGTCACACCACGGTCTCCGAGAGACGTGACGTGTCGCCAGACAGCACGGGGAGAGTTTGGTCTGTGATCCATCCTGTGGACGATCAAAACAATAAGTCGTCCACGATAAAAACCATCAGCTTACATAAAAGATTATTAAAACAGATGATATTTTTCCTTTTTATAATCAGGTGCAGGGTCTGACAAGATGCTCGTCATGTTTTCAATCCCACCCACAGACATTTATATTTTCTTGTGTGGCATAAATACATCATAGAGTGCAACATGCAACATGCAAAACATGCAACAAAACATGCAACATGCAACAACATGCAAAGCAACAAAACGAAATGCCCGATTAATCGACCGTTGGGATGGAATAACAAATCTAAGAAATACATGAAAAAGTCTCCAATATTATTTGAATCGGTCGGTGATTTTTTTCCTTTTTCCCGGTGTCGCATAGTAACCTTGTAATGTGAGTTGCAGCCTCACCACGGCTGTTCACAGTGGAGCAAATAGCGCACGCAGCACTCAGCCTGTATTTTCTAAGATTTGTGGGTTTCGCCGATCGAACATTTACACTGAACGTATTTTAAGCTCACGTGTCTGCGTCTTCTCTGGTGTAATTAACGAGTAGTTAGAATAAAGGGGAAACATAGTCCGCTCTACTTTTATGGAGGCTGGGTTTAGTGACATCAAACACGTGCTGTAAACCACCGGGGGATGTAACCTGCAGCAGCGGGCCTGTGGAGCCAGCAGCCTGTATACACTCCTACCGACCCGAGCAGCCTCGGGGTTGAAAACACGCACACGCACGCACACGCAGGCACACACACGGAACAAAAAAAAAAAAAAAAAAAAATCCCGACCAGTGATTAAAATGAATGAAGAGCCTGAATGGCCGCTTCAGGGGACGCGCTCTTATGTCAACTCGTATCCCTCCTCATTTTCTCTGTAATATCTGCCACTGGCTTGATGTAGTGTCCCCATAAACACACATTAGAAATAACTCGATTCTGTCCCGATGCTGCTGTTCAGCTATCTAATCGGATGAATGAAAGCCGTCGCATGGCGCTTTAGAAGAGCGCACGCTTCTATCTCGGCGCGCGGTGGATGCGGGATGACGCCGCAATTAGCACCAGCAACGCGAACCGCACGCGCACGGAGGTTTGTTTACGGTGAAAATGCGGTTGATAAAAACTCAACACCGATTGTGTGTTTTCTGTCATCAAAGCGACTGACAGAAACAGAGCCTCCATTGATTTATTAATATTCCTTTTTGTTTGTTTGTTGGGGAGGCGCGTCTCAGGCACGGGGACATGTTGTCTCCAGATCGAGTGAGAGTGGATTGCAGCACGCAGGGGCCGTTGCAGGCTCCGAGCAGCTGTCAATGAATCTAATTGAAAGTTATGAGAGCTTGGTGAGGAGCAGGCAGTAATTCAGTTAGGACTAATATCTTTGGGTTTCTGGCGCGCGGCTAAATTAAATGTCATTATTCACTGTCTCTAATAAAAAATCAAAAAGGAAATGAGATTAGGGTATTTGTGAAGCGCATCATTGAGTGGCCCTTAATGAAGAAATAACTGTCTGAACCAGTGTAGTTCACTTTGCTTAACATACTGGCGCGTAATTGGAATTGATCCCGGGCCCGTCTAATATTAGCCTTCATTTATCTGAGGGATGACTGTGCGTCTATGTAAAATCACCTGGGATGTTCATAAACACCTTTTATACTCACCGCCTAAACACTGACTGTGTTATTTCATTTTAAATTATCATCACGGTCATTAGTATTATCGTTATAGTTATTTATGTTGTTGTTAGTATATTATTTTATGATATAATCCTAATAATACAACAATAAGAAACTGAATAGCAACAGGATGTATTGGGATTCTTCTATTCAAATTACGACATCAGTTGGATAAAGTTAAACAATACAAAAGAGGATTTTTTTCCTCTCAGTGCAGCACAGTTATTACGCTCCCATCGACACCACGTGACGCAGATCCACGAGGCTTCACGGCACATCGAGTCCTCGTCATCATCGTCTTCATCAGTCCTCGCCCTTTGGTGGCGGCCCGCGACCGGCCGCTAATCTCGCGTCTGTAGATGATGATCATGGCGGGGGTCGTGGGGGTGTTTGGGGGGGGGGGGGGGTAATGTTATTCACTGAGGCAAATGAGGTTGGAGATGATTAACAACAGGCCGCAGCCCACAGCTTCAAAGACAGCCGGCTAATTGGGAGGTGGCTAACGAAGTTTTATTTTATTTTAGGGGGATCAGTAATATAATCAAAGTATTCCTATGATATTCATACACGGTCTGCAGAGATTGTGATGGTTTACTCAACTCACCACAACGGCCCTCTGTGTGCAATGAAGTTAAATTTAACATTTACTAATTGTGTGGATTTGTTTTTTTTTTTTTATTGTGTTTTATTTGATCTCAATACAATTTATTCATATCCTCTGAACATTCCTTTATTTTTTTTCTGCACCACAGCTTATAGTATTATTTTTTACAAGACTTCATTAGCTCATATGTAACATACTCCTGATTTTTTTATTGGTTACAAACAAGTGGCCTTTAATATTTGAATATTATTTGGGACAATAAAAAGGACATCAATGACAGTTTTAACAAAATCTGTATTTACTACTATTTTTGTGTGTATTTTTTTCTTCTAAATAAATTGCCTTTTCAATTACAGGTCTGGTTTCAGAACAGAAGAGCAAAATGTCGAAAACAAGAAAACCAGATGCACAAAGGTAAATGTAATTACCGTTTTCATACTCCTATCAATACCTTCCTTATTTTTCTGCATTATTTCAATTTTGCAATTCTGCCACATTTGTTTTTATCTGCATGTGGCAAAAAACAAACAAACTCTGACTTGCTCATCTCACGTAACAAACGCTGTCTGGCTGTCTGACAGACATCTTTCCCTTCTCTCCAGGCGTAATCCTGGGCAGCGGCAGCCACCTCGACGCCTGCAGAGTGGCACCTTACGTCAACATGGGCGCTCTCCGCATGCCCTTCCAACAGGTAGGCAGACTTACTTTTTTATATCTGTGCCGAAACTTAGCAAATGAAAGACAAACAACCAATTAAAGGGAACTCAGCCAGAAATAAGTCTTGAGAAACTAAACATGCAGGCTGAATTACAGGGAAAAAAAAGGAAAAAAAAACCCCGTCATCGCCCAGCATCTTGTAACCCAGAGGTCAGGGGCGGAATCTGCTAAATAAAAAGAACTGGTGAAAGCCAGTCGGAGCTGTGCTTCTGTGGTGGAATCCGTGTCAAAGTGGGCTTTCTATATTTATACCGTCACAAGAATCCAAAGGCCATGTGCAGCAATTAGATGTGAGTGATGAGAGACTGCGCGTGAGAGAGAGAGAGAGAGAGAGTGCTGTGTTGGAGGGGGGAGGGTGCAGCTCAGACCTCAGTGCACCTTTCACCTCCCGGCAGTGTGGGGAGTGGGCCGCGCTGGGCACGGAAGGGGGGGGGTAGGGAGTGAAGAGTCAAACAGACACGCATGATCTGCTGCTGTCTGCCCCCGATGCCGACCTGTCTTGCTTGACCCCTCGTGAAAAACACTGCGGCCCTAATTAAAGTGGTGCTCGCAAAACAAGCGAGAGAGAGGGGTGGAGGGGGGGGGGGGGTTACCACTGTACTGGTATCACAATGCAGAGTGAGGCATGGCGAGGCTTTTTTCTTGTTGGGTGAGGAGAGGACCTGTACCTGTGAGGTCTAAAGGAGTCAAATCGAGCCCTTAATGAGCCGCTGTGAGTGAGGGAGAAACCTCTGGGTGCAACATGCACCCTGACGGGCACGTCAAGCGTCCGCCACCTGTCTGGGACGCAGCGGTGTCCCTCCCACACACGCCACTGAAGAACGTGTGGAGAACTTTGGTTTTGCACCAGAGCTCCTGTGGCCTCATGCAGGCCCTGCACACTTGGAAGTCACACTTGCAGCGTTTCACCTGCATTGTTGGCGGGTACATTTTCGTTTGGGGATCCGTGCGGGCGGCGCCGCCCGAGCCACTTGGTGCCTCCGATGCATTTTCCCTCTCGTCTTTACTACTTAGACTTGAGTCACTTCAGGCCAATTTTGAAAGGGAGAAAAGGGATGAAAGAAAACAAGATTTAGTCGAGTTAAAACTTTGACTTCTTATAGTTCTATTTTGGTTGGAGAGAAGCGCACGAAATACTTGAGTTTTCCCACTTCGTCCTGTGGTGTTTGAAACACATGAGAAATGGCAACAGGCTCGGCTCTCTCCCTCTGAAGTGGGTGGATGCTTAATTTTCACCTACTTCTTATAAAATAATTGCCAAGAATGTGAAAACTGATATCCTATGCTCCTTATGTTTTTTTTCTCTCTCCCCCTCTTGACTCAGGAATATGTCTGGATAAATATTTATAACTCCAAATATGTGGATATCTTTTTAGTGCAAAATTGTTTATTTATGCAATTGAATACATAATCAGGATAACAAGACTGCATATTTCCAAGGGTATGAGGGAGGCCTCAGTCTGAATTAAACAAATCGGCTCTGGGTCCTAGAAAGACTTTGATTCTGGACGATTAGATTGGATGTGGTGTCTGAGAGCAGTGTGTGATTCATTAACTTGGAGAATAGCTGACGTGAAAAAAGAGGGCCGCCCTTAACTGTTTTCTCAGAAAACACACTGTAAGCAACAGCTTAAAGGGGGTCAAATATGAGGGGGAATTTAGTGTCAGACTGTGAAACCTAAACCCTCAACACACACACACACACACACACACACACACACACACAAACAGCCCGCAGGGTCCATGCTGAGTAACACTGTTTTTTTCTCCCGCAGGTCCAAGCCCAGCTCCAGTTAGACGGAGTCGCCCACACCCACCCTCACCTGCACCCACACCTGGCGGCTCACGCCCCCTACCTGATGTTCCCGCCCCCTCCCTTCGGACTACCCATCGCGTCACTCGCCGACTCGGCCTCCGCGGCGGCGGCGGTGGCGGCGGCCGCCAAGAGCAACAGCAAGAACTCGAGCATCGCCGACCTGCGACTCAAGGCAAGGAAACACGCCGAGGCTCTGGGACTCTGACACCCTTCTGGCTCCCCCACACCCCCCCCACCCCACCCCGGCCCCCGCTGCGCCCGCCTGACGCCCATAATCGCCTCTCACGCCAGACTGGGCCCGTGAAAGGGCCGTGGCACTCACAGCTAAGACTAAACTAAACAAAAACACTGAGTGAGAGTAAAAGAGAGGAACACAAATACAGAAAGGGGGAGAGGGAGTGTGTGTGAGAGAGAGAAAGGGAGGAGGAAGATAAAAAAAAAAAAAAAGAAAGAAGGAGGGAGCGAGGAAATTGTCACAAAACCAGCTGCCAAAACAAACCACTTGTAGAGAACGGTAATTAAATACCAGTGAAATCACCTTTTACTTTTCGCCCCAACAGGCAGGACTTCTGCGGGGCCAGTGGCTCAGTCCACTCCAGGCCCAGATCACATCCCAAGGACCGTACAAACACATGTGGATGTCTGTCTGAGGGGATTCGGGCCGGGGCCCGTCAGACCAGAGGACGTTAGAACAAAGCAAACTGGCAGGGCAGCAGCAGGGCCCAAAAAGCGGCGGCGGGGCCTCGCCGACGCTGGCCCCCGCCGCCACGTTGACAATGCAGAGGGTTGTGAGCATGGGGGGAGGGAGGGGGGGGTGGGATACAAACCCCAAAACACCACCTCGCCGAGGCATTGGAGCGGCTCTCACCTTTTTTTTCGGCCCACCCTCTCTAGAAAAATGAAGAAAACGATTTTAAAAAAGGGCCCACATGGGTCCCTGCCACTGTGTCCCCTGCTGCTGCCGAGTGCATGAGCTCTGATGGAGGAGCGTTCGGGGACTCGACATAAATGCTCGACGGCGGTTTTTAACACTGCCATCCGACATGCCCCCTCCCTCCCTCCCTCCCTCCCCCCCACACATTCCCAAAACCTACAAAGTGAAAGGTCTCCATCCCGCTGTGATACTTCTTCTTCTTATGGACTTGTGCTGAAACAAAAGCGCTGACTCTTGTTCCGTTTGGACGGGTTATGCCGGGTCGCTCGGTCCGTCTCTCTCTCCCCCTTGGTTTCTTTCTGTTTGTTGTGTTGCATCCTGGGTAAAGAAGTGAAAATGGCCTTTGCACTTCACGTCTTGTACGTGCGTGTTTACAGAAGGCACTGCGAGCAGATACTACTTTACTAATTAAAGGGAGGAGGGGGGGGGGGGGGGGGTCTGGACATGGCCTTGGATAAAGGGTATACATGCGTTCCTTTTTTTTCTTTTTTTGGAATTCTGAAAATATGAAGAAAGCATCAGTCAAACTGAAATGCAAGTGTGCAGTTTAAGTGCAATACTGTAAATAGCAAAAAAAAAAGAAGTAAAAACAGCTCGCAGTTAATCCTCAACGACGAAGAGATCCAATGATTTTTTTTCTGTTGGAGTGTTGAATTTCTTTGCCAAATACGCCTGTTTGTTTTCTACAGTTGTGTATATTTTATCAAGTTTATCAAGGAGAAAGTCACTCATTGATAGGTTTCCTCTCCTGTCAAGTAGTTTTGTACACATCAAAACTATCAGGTGCACATATTGTCTTTATTGCCGAAATTTGGGTTTTAAATGATTCAACTTGAATTCTGTCCCTCTACTTTTGGAAAAATAAAACCAACGAAGCAGCATCGCAATCACAACCGAGCAGTTGTTTACAAATGAACTAGCTGAATTCTGCATGTTATGTGGGACATTTCATTATTTATTTCCTAATAATTTAAACTGTATTTTACAAATTGCCCCAGACAAAACAGAACATTCGGATGGTTTTGTATTGTTAAGACAACCTTTGAAAAGATCCACGCACCTCTAAGAAACAGTCAACAGACCTCCAGTTACAATCTTTATCTACGTATCCATTTTAAATTAAACATATGGGTGTTTTATTTATTATTTTGTTAAGTTTATGAAAGGTGAAACCGTTGAACCACAAGTGTACATTTTGACATGGCTTTGCGTTTTATTTTTGTATGTTTCTATTTCTGAGTGTTGAATTTGAATTAGGAGGCGTGGCTGTAGTGCATTGTTTGCCAAAAAAAAAAAGAAAAAAAAAGAAATGTAGCGTGCCCGAGTTTACAAAGGTTTCAGGGATGGTTGAATTGAACAATACTCATAGAATTCGTTGTACCCATTAAAATGACTCTCATTTCATATGCAAGCATGCCTACACATGAATCATCGTACCGTTTGTTTTTCCCCTTTTTGATTCGCAAAATATGAATGTACATCTTGTACAAGTAAACTATCAATAAAGTTACAAATATTTGTACTTGAGTTTTAGAATACTTATATACCCGCCGAGAACCATCGCGTCCGACGTGAGCCGTGCACCAGCACAGGGCGCCGTGCTGCTACAGAAATCCACCCATACACAGCGCTGCTCTGCGCTCGTGCTCGTCAAAGTGACACGGGGAGGATTGGAACGGGAAGCGGAGCCTGTGGCACCGACAAATAGAAACAAGATGGCCGTAACCGGAGAGGGGAAATGGGAGGCGAGCGAGAGATTCGAGGGATACTGTACGTGTGAGATGTAATCTTCTTTGAGCCCCGGCGCTTGGGAGGGCAGGAGCTCTCCTGCCCGTTTCCACGGCGATGATTCACTTTCGGGAAGACAACACGAGAAAGGTCAAAAGTCAGCGTGCCACCGGGCATCTGTGTTTGAAGGCCGCTCACGTCCACGAACACGCTTTGTGCGTGCTGCCTCCGCTTGTCCTTCCCACACATACGACGCTTTGCACGTTTAAATATGTTTTTCTTTTCTTTTCTTTTTAAGCGCATTAACCTTATCTCGGAGTCAAATTCCAGATGTGTGCACACACGGCAATTACACCGTGTGGTATAGTGGCCTATTGTTTGAACCCCGCGCGGGAATTAGCCTCAAATGGCGTCCCGCTGAGTGCCGAACCCCTGGAAGGTCGCCGAGCGTTTAATCGGTACCTCGTTGCTCGTACATCAAGATTGAGTGATATAGTTCAGGCCGATGGCTCCGTATTTACCCAGTGACCCCTTCGGCTGGGAGCCGCCGGGGGGACGGGAGTCTGGAAATAACAGCATCCTTTTATGTGTACTAATAATTAGCGTGGCACACGCCATCCATCAAGCAGCAACGAGCGGACATGTCGGAGCACACAACGCTGTTTGTGTTGGCAACACGTGAGAAACACACAATAATGTGTGAGAAGCGCTGCGCATGTGCACGTTGACGGCTATGGCGCTGTCGCTTTCCTTGTCTGGCGGTTTGCTGTTTTCAGAAACAATTCCATACAAACGATTCTCTAAAACAACAGATTTAACATGAATTAATCCAAATTTAATTAAAAAAGCCCTTTTTTGTGTTTTTATGTGTAAGTATTAGTTCAGATCTCTCTCTATATCTCTATTAATAGTCGTCGCCTCGACCTTGTCGCCGAGCTGGTCCGCCTCCGCAGCATGCCGGGTCCCAGAGGTCCGGTCCTCGGCCCACTGGAGGTCAAGTGCTCGGGGGGGGGGGGTCACGTGGAAATAGTTTTTATCACAGTTCATTCTCCGTAATCCCTTTTGAAATGTCACACCCGGCTGTGATCAGACGGAATGTGAGCTGTGGTCCGGCCTCAGCGCGAAGCTCCCGCCGCCGTGAAATGACGTCGCCTGAGAAGACACAAGACTTGCTGCTTTTTTTGTCACAGGCGGAATCGGAATAACTCGAAAAGTGAGCGTCTGTTTGGTTTAGCTGAGAGTTTCTCGCGAGGCTACTTTGTGGTCCTCAAATCCCATATGAATCCTGTTTCCGGCGGTTTCAGCCGTAGCTTGAAGTGAAGCCACCCAGAGAAACCTCAGCTGAACACAATCGAGCTCAAGTGCTTAAGTCACCACGGCGGAGCGAGGATCAAAGGCGGCCTTTCACCCCCCCGTGTTTGGGCTAGACTCCAGTTTGCTTTGTCGGCTAATGCTCGTAAATGTATCTGCAGTCATCAGCAGAGCAGAACTATATTAAAACTAACATTTTAAGTCTGGGTAAATACTTTTTTTCTTTTCTTTTGCTGCGGAGACGGAACGTTTCAAGACATTTTCAACTGAGAAAATGGAGAAAAGAAAAAGAGGAAGAAATAGCCGGGCATTAAGTCCACATTCCGCTCTGCCGTTTATGTTGCACTTATTTGTAATTTATTTTTTGGCTCGGTTTGCTGTAATCCAAGATAAAAACAATGTCCACTCAATTTATGGACATTACTAAAAGTATCAGCCCCGTCTGTGAATAGAGACGCATGTATTTCAAAATGATGAAGTTCAATCTTTTATCGCGATCTATTGAACTACTTTGTTTCTTTTACACAGTGTGACATTGTGGTAACTGAAAGGACAGATGTAGAGCGGGACGCCTGCCTGGGCAAAGTGTTTTAGTCTGCGCTTTAATCTTCTTTCTAGCTCTGGTCGGAGTGTCGTTGCAGCTCCATCCAGTGGAATCACACTATTTATGACCGGAGTGTCTCTTCCTCTTCCTCCTCCTCCTCCTCTTCTCTCTCTCTCTCTGCTGGGAAGTTGGGAACAGAATCAGACAAAAAGTCATGTGGAAGCGCAGTCAAAGCGAATTCCCATTTTACTGGTTGTAAAAATAATCAAACACGGCCGTATAAATGAAGAATAAAGTGGATTTATTCATGTAATTCTTCCTGCCATAATATCCCAGAATTTACTGTGACGAAAGAAACATTTGCTGCTGGTTTTGCTCATGTTGGCTCACTGTCACGCTGTCTTATTGGAGCAATTGAACAGAACAGAGTTAATGTTAATGATAACAGTAACGCGTGTGCTTTACCATGCGTTTCATTGAATTCACTTGAAAATTCACAATTTGGCAAAACGAAAGATGATTTATCCCACGTGTTGTGTTGTGACTCTCATCTTCCCGCCGGCATTCCGTCGTCCTGTGATGAAACCGTCCCATTTCATTTGAAGGTTCACTTGAGGAGAAATGAATAAAGTAAATTGTTATTAGTTTCAAGCCCTTCCATATATTGAAATTGTTTAGTGTTTCACTTACGTTCATTATTAACATTATCTCTGCTAGGAGGGTCCTTCCATCAGGGAATTAGTGAGTGAGTGAGTGAGTGAGTGTGCACGTCTGTACACGTGTCATTTTGCATTGCGCTGCAGCAAATCTCTTATGTTTTTTCCTGTCATTCAACGCCCGCTGACTCTTGTTAGCCAACCGGGCGCTAGTGACCACAAGGCTGAGGGAATCAAGCTTTCTCAAGGCTTTTACATCTTTTACATGTTGTAAAGAAGTTTACACGTGGACAGGTTCCACACAGACACAGTTAGTCCACATCGAATAGAATGAAAATAGTGAAATGAAGTTCATTTTCAATGTGCAACATAAGGTTGTGGTGGAACTGAGAAAAGGGTTCACGTTCATTAAGAGTCTCTTACCTGGCCACGAGTATCTGAGTACACATGAATTCTCACATGAATTTGAGGGAAATAAGATCCCTGATAGATGACGCCTCATTGCTTTTATTTTTGTGTTTCTTTTAACGGCGACTTGGTGGATGTGTTACGAATAAACATTCAGCAGCAGTGTAAAACCCTAATTCATTCTGAAATGTCGGCGATTGAAGTGCTGAGTAACAAATACTTCACTTGAAATATGTTTTTCTTAAAATGTCTAATCGCTTTACTGGAGTTTACTTCAAAGCCTTCTTTAATTACACAACTTCAAACCGGTATTTAGACAACAAATTCACCCAGAGAAAATAATCATTGCATATTATCATGTTATCAATAAACCCGACCAGACAGCAGCGTTTTTTTTTTTTTCGGTCAGCCTGTTGTTGTCTGACGGCACAGAGAACTCAGTCGATGCCGTCGGGCTTCTGTACACAAACAGTTTGGCCTTTGTTCACATGTGCAAAAAAAAGATGAATCTAAATTGGAAAGAAAACACGATTAAGTTGAGAAATTGAAACAGATGTCAAGAGTAAAGGTTTACAAACCGTCCAAACAGCCCGTCAGAGGGAATTCTTCGGGCTACGGTCTTAAATCCCCGTTCCTCGTCTCACTGCACGTTTGTCCCGTGAAGGAGCAGCTGCTCACAAGTGAAGCTTTAATCCCGTTTGTCAGTGTGTGACTTGTAGAGGACTGATTAGCTAAGCCATTAAACACTTTGTTTACGAAGGCTTCTTGTGATAATAAGAACAGTTTTGTCTCGAGTGAGGCCAAACCTTTTTGCCGCGACTGTAAGCGGAATAACTTTCCACATCGTTACGTTGTTTGTTATTATCGGACCCAGTCAGTCAGAGCGGTTCATGTTAATCCGGACAAAGGCGGAGCAAAGGTCACCGAGCAATTTCTCCTTTCGGCGCTCTGCTCGGAGATTGTTCAGAAGCTTTTTTTTGTTTTGATGTGGCCGAGCAGAACATCTGTTTGACGGAACATTAACTGATGCTTTTCCAAAGCCAGGGACGCTTAAAGACTCCACTGCTGACAGGGACGCCATCTTGGGCTGTAAGCATGAGCCTGTGTGTGTGTGATGTGACACAATTAACTAATTACACCGCGCGCGTTTGGATTGTAATGAGTTTGTTATACGATTTTCTACATCTTGGAACCATAAGAAGTGGACGCAGTCCTCCTGAAGACATCCGGAGGTTTCTAGTCCGCCATTTTCAGAACCTTCAGTTTGACGGTTTTGACATCGGCGTCTATGCGTTTTAGAAAAACAATGAACGGAAGTTACAATGCTTGGAATGCAGAGTAGTGATGCAGAGATGCCTTTTTGGCTGCGGAAGCGGCCCATCCTCAATCACCCGCCCTAAAGGAGATACCCTGCTTTATGGTCTACTTGACTCCAAATGGACCATCATTTCCTAAATGGACATCATGCTGTATTGAAGGAGACATAGAGACCAAAGATTGAGACCATGAACTCAAGGGAATAAATCAGGTGAGAAGGAGTTTTTTTTTCTGTACAATAAGACCTGCAAACCGATGAGTTGCCCCCTGCTGGTCACTACAGATCATTTAGGTCTTAAGTGCAGAGGTTTGCTGTGCCGCCCAAACAAAACTACATTTTCCCTTTAAACCTCAACCGGCGTGCTTAAATTGTCAATACTGTAACTACTGTAAATGATAAAATATGAACTTCAGGCTCTGGGCTCAAAGTCCAGCACTTCGGCCATCAGCTGAAGATAATGACTGTCAACACATCTCAACGCCACTTTGAAAACAAAGAAGAATTGTATCATTACAACTTTCGCGAACAGGGGTTCATCACGTCACCGCGTCTCATCT